GTTTTTATCCTGGCTCTGATACTAAAGTTTGCCTTTGCAGAAAAAAAAACTAAAAAGTGAATCCATGCTTGATTGGTATTGCATTCTGAACTCCCTCACTGTAACGAGAGAAAGTGACTAGATATTGTAGAACACCTCTCTCCCTTGATTTCTGTCTGCCTCTCTTGTGTACAATAAGTGACATTATGATGATTTTTCCCACTGTTTTAACTTTCAATTTATGCATAGGAAGATGTTAAGGTATTATCCTTTTGAATCTGTTGCAGAACATCATGACAGTCACCATTTCCACGATCATACTCATGATCCTGGTGTTTCTTTAGTCAGCATAGTTTGTGAAGGGAGCTTGGATCTCGAAAAGGTTGGCTTTACATTGTTCCTGTTTAGATATTGTGATTATCGTTCAACCTAATATGGAAATTATGTCCTTGATCAAGACTGTCTTTTTAGATTAAGATAGAAAACTGTTTGTCCAACATATTCGATGGAAAGATGATATTATTGGCTGAGAATTTATTCTTTTTCATATTTCAGGCCAACATGTCGCTAGGCACACTGTTAATAGAAAGGAGCGAAGACATATATCGATACTTTCCAGAAGATAGTCAACTACGAATGAACGAGAGATTCGTCTTTCAGGTGATTGAAAATTCTTCAAAGCTTGACATTTAGCCCTTCTTTGTTATTTAAACACTTTGTTCAGACTGTGTGAAAATAATAATAATAAATGATCATATTGTGACCCCCCCAACTTTCCCAGTACAAATTTTCTCATTAAAGAGAAGAAATGAGAATTGAGAGATTGAAATATCCCTCTCTTAAAATATAATTACTAGAATATGAAAAAAATAATGTTCTTTGGAGAGAGTTTTGAACGCAATTTTTTTGCAGCAAATAGCTTCATTTTTCCTTTCTTCCATTTGTTTCTCGCTTCTCTTTGAGTGAGCACGTACACTGTAAATTCCCTTATATTCTTTCTGCTCATTTAGTATTTATCTAGACGAGGAGATCCTAGCCAAATGACCTATTCTTCTTTTACCTTTAAAATGACAGGGCTTGTGTGTCTAAAATATTTGAGTACTAAATTGATCGTATGGGGGCTGTGGCATTGGCTACAATCAATTTGTTTGCTTAACTGATCTTTGAGTATCATTTGTTACTTCTAAATCATTTTACAATCACCACAAGTTACTGCTGATGTGGATGTTAACATGCTTATTCTCAAAATATACCAGTTCGCTTGCACAAAATTGTCTTGATTGCAGTTTAATCAGCTGTCGTTTTAATCACTGTCCCTCACGTGCTATAAAAGTAAGGTTCGCCGGACAGGTTGTGGCAACCAGACTAACCCAGAATAAACAAGATCGTGTTCATTGGAAAAAACTTGGACAAAGAGGAAATAGAGAAGGGCTTTAAGGCATGTTTACTATAAAGCGAATGGCATGACAGATAAACCACCATCAGAGGGGGAGAAAAACCTTGGTTTCTTTGTTAAGCTGATGTAAAGCCAAATGGCCACATAGCCGAGCCACAAAAGGGTAGATATTTTTACCAACTTGTTTTCCTGCCATTTCTACTCTCAGCTTGCTTCTCTCTCCATTTTAACACGCAAGCTTCATACTCCACCATCTCTCTCTCTCTCTCTCTCGACATTTCTCTCTCACACACACTTTCCCTTCTCATTTTCTCACTCTGCAGTTGACGAAAATCCTGAGCTCCTTCTTGGCCTCTTTTTTTTTTTTTTTCCCCTTCAGTTATGTTTTACCACGATTGTCTATATGGCATTTAATTTCACCAAAGCTTTTCGGTGTTGACCATCGTAGAAGTTCTAATCCTCTATTTTTGTTTTCTTTTGCAGAGATTTGAAGCTTCATCATAGATCAACCGAAAAAGTTAATGAAACAAGGTTTTCTGGTATGTAAGTATTGATTTTTCTATGAATAGAAGGTGCGGTGGTTCAATTTTACTATATGTTCTAGATCTGCAAGATTTTATTTTTTTATTTGAGAGGGCTATTATTTATTATGCGAATTCGGCGACTGCTCCGTTTTTTGGAATCGGGGGTTTAAGTTTGTTCACAAGAAGTTCGGATTGAAAACCCAAATTTTTTTTTTTTTTTGGAATCACTTGAAGTTATTTCAGTGGCTTCCTCCGATTTGAATGTGCAAGTTGTTGAAACAACGTGAAAAATCTCAGCTTAAAGTAAGACATTAGTCTTTCATTATGTTTGGTAGTATGGATGTACTGATTAAACTTTGGAGGTCTATATGCGCTTCACGATCATCAAGCAAGCAAGTTTTTTTTTTTATTTTACATTTTAAATTTGCTTTATCGCGTAGATTTTCACTTTAAAATGTTATTGAAAAATTGAGCAGTTGATCTGGTTATTTCAGTAGGGTTTATTTAAAAATTGCTTATTTTTAGTAGATTTTATTAGGAATATTTGATTCTCGATGTTTTCAAGACTTTAGGAACTTCTGTACAGCATCAAAAAAAAATTGATTATTACTTCAAATTGTTACTGAAATTTTAGACTGTTGATTTTATTATTAGTGTTTGTTGATTTGAAGTAAGGATTATTAAGAGTGAAAATCATCCATAATAATACACTGTAATCAATTGTGAATCCCAATGCTTTGAAGACTATAGAAACTTACTTTGCAATATCTAAATTTTGATTTATTGTGTTGCAAATTCTTGAAGTCTGTGCGGATCACTGATGATTATTGTGCATATGACTTTCATTTCTAGGAGGGTTTTACATTAATGGAGGGCGAATGTTTAATTTTTGAGTTGTTAATAGGGTATTAAGTTAAGCAATTTGTTTAGTTCTGAAGTTGAAAATTTCTATATTTGGAGTTTGATTCGTTGAGTATGAGACTAGCGTCCATTTTGTAATATTTTTTTCCTTGAACCCTCATTGCTTGCTTTCTCATAGATGTCTTTATCTTTTACAAGTTTGGTTAAAAATTATTCAATGTCGTCATTCTTAATGTTAATTTTTCCCTTCTGTACTTCATCATCTTCATTTCTTCTACAACTTATTGAATTTTCAGATAAGAAGGTATGTTTATGAAGATTTTTTTGTGCTTAAAAGATGCAAAGAAATTAATGGATTGTTCCCTTGTTCAAGTAAGCATATTCCACCCCACCTTTAGAGTTTGCCTAAGCATATTTTATTTCTTATTTAAAGTTCAATTGCACATAAACTCCTAAAATTTTACTTCAATCGGGCACCTTTGGTACTTTTCATTAAAAAGTGCTTTTTTTAATATGTTAATTAAAAGGAAAAGGTAGAGGAAAATATTTGCCCTAATCTCTACCTATCGTTTGTTTGTTGTCGTTATTTTGGCGCAACAAACAGGAATTACTAGAACTTGGTGACAGAATTGGGCATGTGAGCACTGGCCTGAGGGAGGACGCGATATCCTGCTGTTTGAGGAGGACTAAGGTTCCAANGAAACAGAAAGGAAATGCAGTATATGTCAGGTTGGTCTAAAGAAATTCATCTCAAGCATTCTCTTGATTGTTTCCATATATCTGTTCTTTTTTCTCCGATTGTTCGTGTTATTTTAATCAAACCACTACGGATGCCCTTGTCATGATTCACATCATCATTCTCATCATATTTTTATTAGATTTTTTCCCCGATTTTCTTCTCAGGAGGAATATGAGACTGATGATGAAACAGGGAAGCTGAATTGTGGACACGTCTATCACATTCAATGCATAAAGCAGTGGCTTGTGCAGAAAAATATTTGCCCTATATGCAAAAAATCAGCTCTGCCTCAAACCTAGACCATATACTTGGATTTCTCATATATCCTTCTGTTTTTTAATTTTTATTTTATGGATTGAATTCATCATCCTTTATAGAAAGGTAAATCTTTGATGTGGCATTTCAATATATAATTTTCTTTATCGAGTCGTCCTGGTTTTTGGTTGGCTGCCGAGGTTTGGATTGAAATTCAAAACTAAGATTCCGGTTGAGATCGCTATAAGCCGAAGATCTAGCTTCGTTATCACTCTCTCTGATTACACTTGATTTGAATATATATTTGCAATTAGTTCTGTCAGTTCTCCTGCTGCTTGCAGAATATATACTTTTGGCATGCTGCAAATTTTTGCCTTAGAATAGAGAAGATAATTTTGTTAATTTTAATTCTCCTGAAAATTACTCTGAAGTGAAGATGTTTCATACTTAATAATCTGAAATTTTAACATGGTGAACAATGAAAAATATGGGTTTTATTTCTCGAAAATACTATCTTCCTCACAATTATCTGTGATATTTTCACTGTCGCACATAATTTAGTATGTTATCTAAAGTTGGGTTGTGAGAAAANTTCCTCACTTTTATCTGTGATATTTTCACTGTCGCACATAATTTAGTATGTTATCTAAAGTTGGGTTGTGAGAAAAAATATATATTTAAGTAATTCTAACATTATGCATGCATTTCTTTGCTCCAAGTTTAATAAATTTGTAGAGCATAGCTGATTTCGTAAAAAAAGACAGTATGGTCTGTCTATTCAGTATGCAGTCATTCTGAAATTCATGTCAGCACACAACCCACCACTCCCCTGCTCATCTTTGCACTATTTAAAAAAGGACAGTATGCTCTGTCTATTCAGACTGGAGTAAGTCTGAAATTCATGTCAGCACACAACCCACCACTCCCCTGCTCATCTTTGCACTATTTAAAAAAGGACAGTATGCTCTGTCTATTCAGTCTGGAGTCATTCTGAAATTCATGTCAGCACACAACCCACCACTCTCCTGTCCATCCATGTACCTACAGCACTTCTACTTTATATATACATATACATGCATATCCTCTATCTACTCTTGTCACTTTCTCTCTGCAGAAAATACATGCATGTATCTACATTCCTCTTCTTTTTATTAGGATTAGGATTTCCTTCTTCTACCTTTTGCTTTAAATTTCAATATTTGACAATGTTTCTTTCTCATTCTCATGTAGTTGTGCTTCCAGAAAAATGGCATCCAAGCTGAAATTAATTCCAGACATTGCACCAAAAGAAATGGGATGGAAATGCAAAGTCGTAGTTGTAGAAAAAACATCTACAAGAACATCACAAAAGGGAAATGGAACTTATCAACACCTCTGGTTGATGGATACTGAGGTAATATTCTTAGATGATGCTTCTTCAAGCCTATTCATTTCTTTTTTTTTTTGGAAAAAAGCCTATTTATTTCTTATCTTAATATAAATAAAATCATACTACATTTGTTTACTTTGTATTTGTATGTAATTACATTATTTTTAATAAATACATATAGGAAAACAAAGTCCAAGCTACAATATTCGCTCAGAATATCAAAGCTCTTGAAAACACCTTGGTGCCATTAAAGACCTACCTGATTTCCAATGCATATGTCAAGAACACTGAAGAACGGTTCAGATCAGCTTTTGGACATACACAATGGACAATCACTGGTTCTACTCGAATTGAAGAATCAGATGACGACCACAGCCCTCTTGTAGAGTCGTGCTTCCAGTTTACTCCATTCGATGAGCTTCAGAATTACCTAGACACTGATGTCGAAATAGGTAGTAGTACTATCAGTGTATTTATTTTTCGAATTCTTGCTAATCATTATATTCTCAAACTGCTGCTTGATGCACACTTTTTTCCAATTTGCCTTTGTAGCATTTGCTGGCATTGCTGTTGACGTTAGGCCAAAACGAAAGATTCCAAGTAATAACAAAGTTGCTGCTACTGTGCAGGACATTGTTCTTGTGAATGAAAGTTAAGTATGAGTAATTATAAATCTTTACACAGAATAATATTTTTATCTAATGTAATATGAAAATTCCTTCAAATGTCATATCTCCATGTGCAGGTTACAGGCAATTATTCTGACTATATGGGACAACTTTATAGACAATGAAGGTATTGAAATCAGTGATTGTCTTATGAAAAAACCAATAATAATTGGTAACCATTTGAAGGTCACTTCATTCAAAGGTAAATGAGGTCTCCATGTATCATTTGTTTCCAAAAGTTTTTACTGTATGAAATATCTAACTTCATTGCTTATATACTTCTGTCCATGTTAACAGTGATATCATTATCAACTAAGGCAAACAGTTCAATCCTGATTAATCCTAAGTTTGAAAAACTTTCTGGACTTAGAGAATGGTCAGTTGACTGTTTTTGCATTTTTCATGCATTTTCCATTGGATGTGTTTCACTAAAAAAATGTTTTCCAACTTTATCTTTATTATTACAAGGGTTCAAAGAAACAAAGACATACTCACAGAAATCATCTTTCAAAAGAGTTACGATCTGCCAAACATCAGGTGATAAAATGGAGGAGGTCTTAGCACAATCATCAACATCAAAGACATTTCTGAATTGCCATTGCCGGTAAAAGTAAAACCATAACATTTTCTCTTTACATTTACACTTTCTTCCATTACCTATACCACATAACAAATCTATATTGCAGCGCAAACCATTATGGATTAAAGGTCAATTAGAATTGAAGGCAGGATCTCAATCACTTTGCTATATGGCTTGTGACACATGTAGTTGGATGTCATATGCTCAGTTGAATGAAATGTACTTTTGCAATTATTACAAATACATGCATGCAAGAGCACTCCCAAGGTATTAATATATAGCTAATAGTAAGATTCAATTGTCCATCACACTTATTTCATATTTTTTGTTTTCCAGGGCACGATGCAATGTTCATATCACAGATGCTACCGGGTCTATTTCTGCGTCCTTATTTGGTGAAGTGGCAGAAAAATTCCTGCAACTTCCAGCTGAAACATTGATGAAGGATTGTTTAACAGTAGAGTATTCTTTATACTTCCATTTCTGAATATTTCATACTTACTTATATTGATATAGTGAAATTTATATACAGTCAGAAGATTTCATCAAGGCTCGCGATTTGAATTGTCCAGTTCAAGATCGATTGATTTATATGAAGTATGGAACTTTGGACCCCAAAACAAACCAGCCAAGATTTGACGTCGTCTACCTTTTGGATAATAGTTGTGGACCTACTAAGGGATCTCCGATGACATCTCCATATGTACCGAAGACAGATAGAGTCTCACTTCACACCAATGCACATAACACTCGAAGAAATTTGGTGTTTGAAGAAGGGAGCATTGAGCACCTGAAGAAACAGAAAATGGTAGCATCAGCTGTTGAAGAAATTACTGGAGGTTCCTCTGACATCAATGTGGATCCAACTGAAAGCTAAATGATGATAACCTCCACCAGTTCAGATTAGAAATCAAGTTCATGATTTTGATGCTTCCTTGAAGACAAAAGTGTTTCATGCATTAGCCTATCAGCAATCTTTTTGAAGAAGAAAACATTTCTTCTAGGAACTTACCTATTGGAATTTTCATGTGTTCATGAATTTGGATCTTGTTTTTTGAAGCTAGATTTCTGTAATGAACTGGATTTTTGAAGCTACAATTCTGTGATAAACTAGAATGTATTTTGCTCTTGAAATGTATGAAACAATCTATCTAGAATTGTGTCGGTGTGTTAACAATTTTAATACTATTTTGTAGTGCTTCTGTTTTATTGTTTTCTATTTCAGTTATTAGAAGTAGAAATGGATGCAACAACCAAGTAGAAATTGAGCTTTCTTCAACTTTCTTTGTCGACTTGGTACCTTTTCCATTTACTACAGATCTGCTTCAATATGGTAGTGAATAACTCTCTGTATTTTGATGACGAATCTGATCTGGACTTCACTTTCATGCTATGGTAGTGAATAACTGTGTATTGTGCTTTTCCCCAGTTATTTTGAGGCTGCAATGGAGGGTTTGGTCATGCTTAGTGAAATAGTATCAGGGAAATGTTGGGTTTGGTGAGAATAAGAGCAAAATTGGTGCCTTTTTCGATCTGAATATTCATTAGTTGGAATAATTTAATGTTCTTTTTGCCATTGTTCAATCGTGAAATTACAAAAACTATAACGGTAATCGTGCAACGCACGATCCTCACTAGTNTGTTATGTTTGCTATTATTCAATTCTAGAATTAGAAAATTTATAACGGGTATAGTGCAACGCACGATCCTCACTAGTATTAGTAAACAAACAAAACAAAACATTCTTAATAAAGAAACATAACTATATAATTGAGATAAGAAAATATGAAAAGTCAGCCTATATAACCAGGACAAAAGGAGTATATTAAAGTACTTGGCCCTTCTCTCAGGAATTGACAACACATCATAAGCAAAACACACCGCAATAGTTTGTTTTATTTTTTATTTTTGGATTCGAGTCTTTTTCTTATCTAGCCATGAATTTGAAAAATACTTCTATAGGAGAATTGTGTAGTTCATCTCTTTTTTCTCTCTAATTTGAAAAATGACTTATTGATCTAAAAAGAAAAGTAAGAGAGTTGTTTGGATCAATTACAAAATTGATTAAAATTCAAGTCAAAGCCAACGGTTAAATTTTAATCATACATTTTATGGTATCCACAATTTTTCAATTATTACAAAATAGAGAAAATGAGAAGTAGAGAACTCAATAAATTTGTATGTATTTCATTAAAAGCCAAAAACCCATATTTTAAAAAAATTAAAAATTAAGCTACATGGGATACAATAATCATAATAACGTGGACTACAATGCTATAATGACCATTAACTAATAAGCATATAATTTACAACACTCTCACTTGAATGAAACATTACAATATATTTGTCTCGTTAAAATCTTGTCACGAAAATCTAATGAGGCAAAACTTGAGTTAAGGAAAAAGAGTACAGTTGTTCCTCCTGATTTCAATAAATTATTTTTTTATTGAGCCGTCCGTATCTTATACGTCAATGTCTAAGTATTGCAATTATGGTGAACGATACTTTGTGTTATCTTATTATAGCATTCAAGTAATATCATTTCAATAGATGATATTTATCAATCTTTGTTTGTTTTCAGTCACGTGATGATTTGTTGAAAAATAGATTGTGTTGTTGCTCTTTTCGGAAGTCATACACAATTTGTAATATATAAGAATGTTATTTTGAGGGTAAATGTCTTGCAATTTATGGACATCATTACACAGAGAAATATACCTTGTTAAAACTTTAGTAGGAAAAATG